GTTCTCCCGGATCGTCGGCGGCCTCGGCCAAGGCAAGCGTCCGCCGCATTCGCCGACCGTGTCGCCCGGGGCCCTTGGGCCACACTCGGCCCCCGGCCCGGGGGGAGCCTCGCCGCACGGCCCCAGCACCGCCAGTGACCCGGAGCGCCGGCGCCATATCGACTCGCTGGGCCAGTTCCTCCCGGCCCCGGACTTCCAGCTGCTGACCCTGGAGCCCGACGCCGTGTTCGAGGTGTCCAACCCCCGGTTCCCGACCGACAGCCTGCGCATCCACCTGTCCTCCACCTTCCCCCAGACTCCGCCGGTGCTGATGCTCATCCACCGTGACCGGATGCCGGAGCCCTTCCCCCACCCGGCGGTGCGCTCTTGCCTTGCCCCCTCCCTCCCCGGCCACCCCGCCGCATATGTCCCTTCCGCTGCCCACGACGCGACGCGTCGCCCCCTCTTCCCCGCGTGCACGCGCGAGGCCAGGCGCTAACCATCTCACACGGGGGGGGGAAAAAACAACAACAACGACAACAACACAACAAATGCCACCTCCTCGCCAGATGGCCACCTGGACACCGTACTATTCCCTCCTCGGGCAGGAGATCCAGCGCGTGGTAGCCGACCTGCCCTGGGGCGCTGGCGGCCAAGCACAGGGCCACATGCCCGGCCAGGCTCCCCAGGGCCAGATGCCCGGCCAGGCTCCTCACGGGCAAATGCCCGGCCAGGCCCCAGGGCAGGCTTCCTCCCCCTATGGCGCGGCGCCCACCCCCTACCCCTATGGCGGCGGATCGACCGGGGCCGGCCCAGCAGCCGGCGCACACGGGTCCACCGTCAATCCCTACTCCACCGCCCCTGGCGGAATGCCCACCACCCCGGGCGGCAGCGGGTACGCCGGATCAGGCTTCCCCGGGCAGCAGCCGCCCGTGGGCCACCTGCCCCAGGTTGTCCCGGGCCCGCTCGCTGGCCAGCAACAGCATCCACAGCAGCAGCAGCAGCAGCAGCAGCAGCCGGCCTCCTCGTCGTACGGCCCCGGGGGCAGCTTCGCCGACCTGACTGCCTCGACGGGGTCGGCCACCGGGACCTCCCCCCGGGTGGGCCCCCTGTCGACGCGCATCTCCCGCGATCAGGTCACCATGGAGCTCAGCCGCCTGGACATGGATATCATTCAGATGCTGGCCACCGGCGGGGCCCTCGGCCAGTGGGCCGTGCCGGACCTGGTGGATCTCTTCCTGGATGGCCTGCTGCAAAGCACGCTGGCCGATGTCCCGGACTTCCCGATCGAGCTCGCCACCCAGGACCCGGCCTGTGCGGGGGCCAGCCCGGCGACGGCCTCCGAGGCCAGCAGCCCGGCCGTCACCGAATCCGACGGCGGCACCGGCAGCGGTGACCCCCCGGGCGACGACCCGTCCGGCGGCCTGAGCACCATGTCCGGCGATCTGCGGAGAGACCTGCCGGCCGTGGGGGCCTCCTCCCCCCCCGGGCAGGCGGCGCCCACCCCGGAGGAGATCACCCGGGCCTACGTCGAGTCTACCCTCCTGCCGGTGGAGGACATCGCCGCGGTCATCGCCGCGTCTGTTTCCCACCCGAGCTCCATCATTTCCGGCCTGGCGCAGGAGGCTGCCCGACTGGATCAGTGGTCCGAGCGCAATGCCCTGCTGGCGCGGAGGAACTTGGATCTGCTCGGCGATGCGGAGCTCCTGCCGCGGTCGCTGCTCGGGCCCGGTGCCGAAGATCTGCAGGCGCGTTTGACCGCCGCCGCCGCGGCCGCCGCTGCCGGGCCCGCTCTCCCGGGCGCGCCGGCTCCCCCGCCGGCGGATGCCACCCTCGCCGGCCTGGCTGCACGCCACGCCCAGCTGGCCAGCCAGCATGAGGACCTCCGTGCCGCGGTGGCCGCCCGTCGGGCGCGACTCCACCAATTGCTTGCGGTGCGCCCTACTTGTGCCCCCCCCCCCCTCTGCCGGGATGGCGGGGGCGACCGGCCGCGACTTTGCCATCCCCCCCTCCTCGCCCTGGGCCTGGTACTGACCGTGTCTCTTTTTTTCTTCTTCTTCTTTTTTCCCTTTTTTTCCCTTCCCACGTTCGCCATCCCGCTCGGGCTCGGCCTTCTCCCCCACCCACCCACGCAGCACTACTCCCTGCAAACCGTGCACCAGGCCCTGCATGCTGAAGCCAGCGCCGCCGAGCAGGCGTCCGAGCAGACGCGGCAGCAGCTTCTGGCGCTGCGCGCCGCGAGCGATGACGACATGGAAGCCGCTCCGGACATGATCGAGCAGTTCCGTCTCCAGCGCAAGGCTCACCACCGGGCCAAGCTGCTGGCCACCACGCAGCTCCACTCGCAGCTCCGGCTGTGAGGTCGGGGCGCAGCTAGATTTCCTTGGCACCCCCCCCCCCCCCCCCCCTGCTTTGCTCCGTCCTTCGTCTCCCTCGCGGCCCTGCTTGTCCTTGTTCCATCCCCCGAGGGAGGAAAAAACAGCAAAGAAGGAGGATCCCCCCCCCCCCCTCCTCGACATTGTCTCCCTACACACGCGCAATACACAGTTCCATTGTCCCGGCATGGTGCTCCTCCTCGCCTTTTCCGCGCCCCCTCTCCTTGACAGGCACGCGGCCCCCAGCACGATGGCATACCCCGCCACGCAGGGAGCCATGGCGCAGCGCAGGGCCAGCCTCACACCGGGCCCGGCCGTGCGCACACATGCCCCCGCCCCACCGCCCCCGCCGACAAAGCGACTGCGCGCATGGAAAGGCATGCGTGTATTTTTCTGACTCGCCCTATCTCAGCGGGAGCACCCCAGAGGAAAGACACAGGAGAGAGGAGAGGGGAAGGCCCACGAGTCGCCCCCCCCCCACCTACCTGCCCATCTGTGGCCCCGCCGAAGGCCGCAGGGCGGGGGCCGCTCTCTGTCGGGGGGAAAAGAAGGCAGACGGCCCGGCAGATCTAGGTGCACGAGGGCCACATACATGTATACACTTATATACATACGCACATACATATATACACGCGCGCACGCACGGGGGCTTGCGCACACGAAGCAGCACCATACACCCGGCGGTCAGGCGCGGACATAGGCGGGCAACGCGCACGCGCGCGCGCGCGCGCGCGCATCAGCAGACGCGATCCATTTACTTGGTGGCCTCCTTGAGGTAGGCAATGATGTTGGCACGGTCGTCGGCCTTCTTGAAGCCAGCGAAAGCCATCTTGTTGCCGGGCATGTACTTCTTGGGGTTCTCAAGGTAGTCGAACAGGGTCTGGTCGTCCCAGGTGACGCCAGCGTTCTTGTTGGCCTGAGAGTAGTTGTAGCCGCTGACAGCACCGGTGGTGCGGCCGAAGAGGCCGTGCAGGTGGGGGCCGGTCTTACCGGAGCCCTCCTGTATGAAGCCAACACGGGGGACCAGAGCGCCGGTGGACGAGGGAAAGGAGGGACCACGAGCGTGAGCAACATGCATGTGTGACACTGCTGGCGGCACAGCGGCGGGAGGCACACATGGAGGAGGGGCATGGCGAAGGGGGAGAGGAGGGGAGGAAAATAGGCAGACGACGCTGGGACGGTGCAGCAAGGAGGAGGGGTCAGGGGAGGGGGGGGAGAGAGAGAGACAGCACGGACCTCGACGGTGTGGCAGGTAGCGCAACGGGTCTTGAAGAGCTTGGCACCCTTCTCGTAATCGCCCTCAGGAATAGACATGGTTCTGTGGGACGCCAGGGCGGAGCGCAGAGTGTTAGGCCAGGCGAGGACGACGATGGCAGCGCACAGGAGAAGCAGGCACGTGGGAAGGAGGAGGGGGAGAGAGAGAGAGAGGGAGGGAGGGAGAGAGAGAGAGAGAGAGGGAGGGAGAGAGAGAGAGAGAGAGAGAGAGAGAGAGCGACGCCGGGGAAGAAGGCAGGCAGACGCACGATGGAAAATGCAGTGGAGGAAAAAAGAAAACCAACAAAAGCAAGTTGGAAGAACAGGCCAGTCGGCCGCCCGGCAGGACGGCGCCTCTTGTGCCCTTGCGCACGCCCCACCACCACCACCCTCGCCTCGACGCCAGCACCCACGACACAACCCCCCCCCCCCCCTCTCCGCCATCCGCGCAACGAGCGCCGCGAGCGGGCGCCCACCTCAACAACGCAGCCACCAACGTGCGCGCTTGTGTTCTCGCCACTGCCGGGAAACTGCCGAATGTCCCGCAGGTCGACAGTTCTCCCCCGGCCCCCCCCCCTCGGTGGCCCCCTTCACAGCAGCCGCGCGCGCCCGCTTTAAGAAACCCGACCCTTTAGGATTGGGCTGGAACGGATGCGCGCGCGCTTGCAGGATGGCGCGGCCCCAAGCACGGTCCGGTGGCAAGCGACCCATACCGCGAGACCAGGGTTCGAGGGGGCACCCGGGCCGGACACCGGGCGCACGCCGAACCACCGGGCCCGAGGCCGCCAGCGAGCTGAGGCAGGCCGACACGCAGACCGGCCCGGCCGGGCTGCCCCCCCGCCAAATGAGTAAGAGGGCGCAGACACCCCAGCCACGGTCCCCCCTCCGGGCCTCCTCGCCCTCAGTCAGGCCGCCCCCCCCCCCCCCCCCCCCCCCCCAGGGCCCGGCGACACGTGTGTCCCCCGCCC